ACTTTTTTTACAGGGTTCCTGCATATTAAAAGGTGAATCTACCTTGTCAATTACCTCTGTAACATTCTCCTCTCTGTTGACATTTTCTCCACTACCTTGCAGATTTGGTGAACTTTCTCTCTCTTCTACATCCTGCCGATTCACAGAAATGGTAGAATCTACCATCACATTATTATCGTCTTTGGAATCTACCATTACAGTATCTTCATTTGAGTCTACCATTACATTATCTTCACCTGAATCTATCATTGCATTATCTTCATTGGAATCTATCATTGAATTATCTTCACCCAAATCTACAATTACATTATCTACACTTGACTCTACCATTACAATATCATTTGAATCTACTTTTGCAGCATTTTTGGTTAAATCTATTATATTATCTACACTGGAATCTACCATTACATTATCTTTGGTTAAATCTGTCATTACATTATCTACCTTTGAATCTACTTGTACATTATCTACACCCAAGTCTACCTTTACAATATCTACACTTGAATCTACCTTTACATTATCAACACCTGAATATAACATTACATTACTTTCACCTAAATCTACCATAACATTATCCATGCCTGAATCTACATTTACATTATCTAAGCTTGAGTCAACACTCCCAAAATCAATGGCAAGCACTTGTCTCTGGTCATTATTTACTGCATCTATACTGTATACATGCTCAAACGGTATTGATTCTTTTCCATTCATGTCATCTAAAATATTATCTTTAGGCAGCTGATCAATGCAGTAATCTTTATCTATACCTTCTCCTATCTCATAGTGTTCACATCCTTTTTCACATACATCTTCTACCGTTGCAAAAGTTTGTGTCTTGACAAACTGCCCAATCTCATCAGTTGGAGAATTAGGATCCCTGCCGATATCTACATCTCTTCGTAAAATCTCCGTCACTGGCTTCACTTGGTGCTTGCCACCATCATCATCCTGTGGAAATATATAGCATGGATGTACTGATAATGACTGTAGTAGTAATACTATGGAGGATATTACCTACTTCACAATATACAGGGTGGATAAAATCTGTATGATACAAAAACATCCATTGTGCGATTGTTTTCCATAGGAATATGTAATTTGAGTTAGAAACACTATGTTCGTAAGTTGAAACATTAGGAACATAACTTATTTGTAAGTTGGAATGCCTGGAAAATAACTTGTTTTTAACCCTTAACCCTTTGACTGTTTTCGACGTATAAATACGTCTTACGAGCCAATGTTTCTGACGTATATATACTCAATAATTCTAGCGGCTTCAAATCAAGCGGGAGAAAGCTGGTAGGCCCACATGTGAGAGAATGGGTCTGTGTGGTCAGTGTGCACCACAAAAAAAAAATCCTGCAGCACACATTGCGTAATGAGAAAAAAAAAACTCTGATCGTTTTTTTGGAATAAAACGCCGACTTTGAGGTGTATTTTCATATAGTATTTATCGTTGTATTCGCGTTTTCATGGTCTTAGGTGATAAAATGGAAAGCATATTACAGAAATAGAGATGATTTCATTACTTTGACGATGAAAACGACCTTGAAACTGAGCTCAAAGTAGCGGAAATTTTCATTTTTACCAATGTTCAGGAGTAAATAAATCACACCACACGTCCAATACACGTCAACTGGGGAGTCTAATATTCTTTCACTAGTGCACTGATATTATTTATACCATTTTTACAATAATGCAGTAGTCTGCATAACAGTAAATTTTGTATTTTTTTGTATGAATAAAAAATCAAAATAGAAAGAAATAATAATATAAGAGGGGCCTAGAGATGTGACTAATGAACAGAGCATATGTTATTTTAGTGCCACGAATGTCTACCTTGTTTATTCTGGACCCTATTTTGAAATTGGCATCTTTTTTAGTTTGCGTGAAATTGGCCAAATTGCCAATTTCTGACCACTATATTGGGTAGTTCAAATTAGTAAATGGGAGGTTTCTTGTACTCAGCTGATAGATAAAATGGAGTTCTAAAGAAATAGCTATGAGTTTGGTCAACTGGAACAATGGAATTGGTTGAAAATAGGGCTCAAAGTCGGCGAAATCGCCGATACGCATATGTCGCCGAGACCGCTAACTTCGCGGGAGCATAATTCCATGAGTTTTCGACCAAATTTCGAACTTTTGGTGTCATTACCATCAGGAAAAGATTCTCTATCATTTCATAAGAAAAAATAATTTTTTTTTTCAAAAATTGAGCGACATAGAATGACAGTTTCAGAAAGGGGCCTGAAACAGTCAAAGGGTTAAACTGTCCAAACATAGATCTACATTCACTCGCGTGGTGCTCTGAATATTTTGAAAAATAAAAAAATAGTTTTTTTCCTTTAAAATGAAGAGCACATTTTTCTACATGTTATAGGATTAAAAAAAATTTTTAGGGCCAGTACCTACTGAGATATAAGACCGTGAAGTTGGTTCTGGATGCTCACCTGATGGCAACATCGACTCCTGCCACTTGCAGAAGTGTTGCTGATATACCTTTTTTTCTCGTTTTTATTTTAATTTATATATTTTTTATGTTCTGATAATTACAATTTATAATAGTTCTGTAATTTCATAGCCAATCTTTGTTCTGAGAACTAATATTAGGTACTGAAATAGTGCTCAAATAGTCACAATCACAGTGACAGGTGAACATTTACACCTGCCTGGGTTATTTACTATTATCTAGAAATATATACAAAGTATTTATAGGTCCCAGCAATGTTTTAGATACCCTGGCATATACCTTGAAGCATGGTGTTATGAAAGGCATCCCTATACTGTTGACAGCCCAGTGGCACTTGATAAATGCCCACTGATCCAGCTAATCCTCGCTGTATTTGTTATCACTGTTACACACAAACATGTCTTGTCTCTCTGTCTATCTATCTGTCTATCTGCCTGTCTGTCTGTCTCTGCTTATCTGTCTGCCTGAAGTATACATATATGAAACTCTCCTTGAAGAATGGTGTTATGACAACTGTTATCAGCTAGTGACATTTGATAAATGGGCACTCGGGGGAACCCTGGCTTTATTTGTTTTCGCTGATACACATAAACATGTTTGTCCATCTGTCTATCTGTCTGTCTATATTTGCCTGGAATTTTTGGGTTATTCTAGGTAATAACTGTACTTGTGTACATGTGAGACAGAGATATAGATAGACAGAGATATAGACAGACAGAGATACAGATAGACAGAGTTATAGATAGACAGAGACATAGACAGAGATATAGACAGATAGAGATATAGACAGAGACCGCCAAAGCAAGCCGACCAGCCTGACGAATACGTAAGAATACATAAGTGTTCCTCCTTTCTTGTGTTCTTAAGAAAGAAGGAACTTTGGGTAGTGGGCCTACGGGCCCCATGAAAAGGCAGGCCCATGTTTTCCCCCCTTGCCCAGTTTTAGCCAATGACCCCCCTAGTCAGGTCCATCCAGGAAGGAAGGGGGCATGACATGGGGGGCCTAGTAAACAAAGTAGAAAGGGTTAAAGCTCCCACCCACCCCCACTCCCCATGTATTTTTTAAACCTAATTTATTTTTCCTTTTTAAAAAAGGGGGTGTTAATGGGGACATGGCATCAGTAAATCATGGTTTTTTGGCCGGGCTGTTTGTCTAGCTGGCGCTCAACTGAACGGTGCTCCCACAAGGTATAAGTGCCCCCCAATTTTTTTTAATAAGTCCATTTAAGTGCCAGACCCTTTCTTTTTTGTCTGGGCGATAAGCCTATTGTCCCAAAATTTTAAAGGGGAAATAAAAAAAAAATGTTTTGATCTATGTTGGGAGGGGCTTTGGTAAAAAATTTGATCCTTTGGACAGTTTAATGGTTAAGGGAACACCAAAAAACAACTTTTTTTTAATGGAAACCCAGGAAAAAAAATTTTGTCATCAGTTGGAATACCCTATATACTTTTTTTTTTTTTCAATGCTTTAAAATTAAAGAATCTTTAAAAAAAAAAAAAAAAAAAAAAATTCTCCAAAATCTTTAATATTGACACATCCCTTTACGGGTTTAAAATTTTTCATAAAGATTGCGGAATATTAACTTACAAACAGTTGAGGAATTTTTTTAGCTAAATCGTCACGTGAAAAACAAGTATTTTTGCTTAATTTTTAAAAAAATGTATAGTAAAAAAATTAACTTAAAAAAAAAAAAAAAAAAATTTACTGAGTAAAATTACCTAAATTTTCTTGATGTGATTTAGACAATGAGTGGGATGGAGGGAAAAAAGAGGGAAAACCATTTTCCCTTTTGGGATAAAAGGTGGTGGTTTGGGTGGAGTTAAAGCAGCAGCAGTAGATGGCATTTCTCCCTCCCATGCCCTGCCCATTGCTTTATGGATTTCGGGAAAATTGGGTGATCTTTTTAAATATTTTAGGGTAAATGGTTATTGCTTTTTTTTTCGTGTATCCAAATATTCAATCATGCCCCCTTATAAAAAACCCAAAAACTAGAAAAATTTTTGCAAGTCCAAAAATTTAAATTTTAAAAATTTAATATTTTTTTTTTTTTCCTTTTTTTTTTTAAAACAAGTGGGGTTCATCTCCCCCCAGGGCAGGGTGCCCCCAAAAAAAAAAAATTTTCCCCAAAAAAAAAATACTTTTTTTTTCATTCAATATTTTTCACCTCTCATACTAACCCCTTCTTTTTGCTTAGGTGCTCAGATACGCCCATTTTAAAAAGTCAAACTCCCAAACTAAACTTAAAATGGTAAAAAAATGCCGACAGGTTGTTAGGGTAAGACATTTATGAAACCGTTAGGTATTTTTTATTTCGAAACGTTTCGCTACACGGTTTGGCTTTTTTCGGCGAGTACAGGAAAAAATTTATTGTGAAAAGGGAAGGGGAATTGGGAAAACGATGTAATCAGTCCCTCACCCTTAAAGTTTTGGGGGTGGTCGTCCCTCGTTTCCGGAAGAGCTTTTTTCTAAAGTCCCGAAACAAAATGGAGTTGAAAATGGGCAGGATGGAGCCCCTTTTTTAGGGCCGGAGGGGGAGACGTTTTGGCCATAGTAGTTTTGACAAATTTTAAAAATACCTAAAATGTTGCATATGTGTTTTTACCTAACAAAACCCGTCGGCAAATTTTTTACCATTTTTAAAGTTCAATTTTGTCAGACACTGGGAACACAAGGGGGATCTTGGTACGACCCGAAATCAAACCCTTTGGGCAACCTCTATAGTGAAAAACGGCTGGATTTGAGAGGGACCCGGGCCTCCCAACTCTGCGTTCTACTAGTGGCCCACGTCTTTACCTCCTGGGGCTATATAAGGCTCCATCCTGTCAAATTCAAATCCATATTGATTCCGACTTTAGAACAATGCTCTCTCCCGCTGAGGGGTGCCCCCCTAAAAAAAATTTTAAAGGGGGATGGGTGATTTCTTCGTCCCTTTAAGGGCTCTTTGCTTTTTATCAAAATTTTTGTATCGGGCTGAAGAAGCCTTGGTTTTGGCGGGAAAAGTTTCGAAAAAAAGATCCCCAAAATTTTGCATATGGTCTTTTCCCAACAACCTCCAAAAATGCCAAAAACCCAAACCCCCCCTTTAAAGTGCAGGAAATGTACTTCCCATTTCCCGGTTAAATCTGGCTAACCAAATTTTCCCCGAAAACCCTTTACAAAAAAATTTTTCCCTGTCACAAATTTCCCAAAAACCCTTTTCGGTCCCAAAAACCATTTCGTCTCCCAAACACTCCTTTTCTAAAAAAACATACTGCTTGCTGGAAGTGCAAACCCCCTCACCCAGGAAAAAAGAGCTGTTGGGTGTGAGCAGGGTAATATTTAGTGAAGGGGTTTTAGGGGGAAAATGGTTATTTTTTATAGCCCGACTTGAGGCCCGGGGAAAAGGGGAAAAAAATGCCTGCACTTTAAAAAGGGAAGGGGTTTGGGGGTATTGGCAGTTAGGGGGGGAAATGTTGTATATCTTTAACGTATATATGC